GGGGGGGGGGGGAGGAAGGCTGGCCAAGGAGGTGGCCCTGAGGGGTCAGGCAGATACAGTGATGCAGCTTGCTCGCTGGGAGTGTGAACTGGGACCAGCGAACTGGGGCCAGCGGCTGGCGGCTGGTTAAGGCTGCTGGATCTCACAAGGCTAATGGCATGGTTGAGCACTGGCCCCAGGGACTTGAGAAACACCAGGCCTGTATGCAAACAGGCCAGAACCCCAAAGCGGGGTGGGGATGGGGGGTGGGGCGTGGGTTGTGAAGCAGAAGGAACTGCAGCGTGGCCATCACCCATGCAGTGCACTCACTCACTCTCTCCCTCCTCACCCTCTCTCTTTCCCCCTACAGGGGAGCGCACACGCCCTCTGGCATATTAATAAAAAGTGCAAATGTGCATGATTTCTGGGTGGAAGGGTTCCCTGGTTGTGTGGGTTAGTGTAGGAGAGTGAGGTCCAGCTTAGAGAGCTGGCCTGGCAGCCTGGGGAGTCCCGGAATGCCCCTCTATGGGAAGGGACTGTGGCGCATCACAGAGAAGCAGGGAGCATTGAGAGCCAGTAGGGGGGTAAGGGCTGGGCAGCAGGCTGGCAGACCTGGAGGAGGGGGGCTAGGCCTGGACCTTCCAGCAGAAGGAAGTCAGTTTTGGGGGCTCTGTTCCAGCTTTGAGCTCAGCCTTTTATCTTCACCCCACAGCAGACCTAATCCCCTGCAGTGGGCCTTGGCATACTCCTGTGGCTCTCCACCCTATGGGGCAAACAGCTCTGAGCAAGTGACAGCACTGGAAGCTCCTGGAACTATCCCCTGTCCAGGGCACAGATGGGTGGGTGGGCTTAGGGGCTCCTTTACCTGGAGAGACCTCAGCACAGGCAGCCAGCAGAGCAAGGGGATGGGTCCAATGACTCTTCACGGGTGTCAGGGACACATCAAGTGGTGCTTGGTCTCTGGGCACCACCGGCAATGTTTCAGTCCTGTCTGGGAGCTCCCGGAAGCCTCGATGCCCCACACTGCCAGCCCAGTACTTCCTGCTCCAAATATTAGGAAAGCCCTAATCCAGCGGGAACACAAAGCCACCCAGGCTCCCAATTACTATATTCTTTTATAATAAAGCACCGCTTAGTTCCTCTGGCCTTGGGGGCAGGGGAGGCTGGGATAAAGGAGCTGGAGGGAGGTCCCGTCTGCTGGCTGGGACTGCTGGCCAGGTTCAGAGCAGTGTTCTGTTACCAGCCTGCTACAGCTGGGAAGACAGGCACACTGCAGGTGAGCTCCCCGAGAGCAGGTTTCTGTCTTGATCACGAAGTACCTGCTTTCTCGTCTGTAAAGCCAGTCCCACAGGACATTCATTGGCCAGACTCTGGTGAAATGAGTTCAGTGCCAGGACTGAGCTGGTTAGGGTGCAGGGCTTCCCTGACCACGGAAGTCATGTAGCTTTGCCGGAGGTTAGCACTGACCACAAGGAAACCTGCGGCAGCTGTGAACCTGGGGCTGGACGCAGCCTGCCTCCTTCTGCTGGGAGAGAGCATTGGGCTTTGGGGTCCCAGGAAGCTTGACGAGGGCCTGGCTTTTCCATCTGTAAAAGGAGCTAAGGTGTTGTGTAAAGTGGGATGAGCTAAGGTGTGCTCCGTGAACAGGGAGGGCCTGGTGGCCTTAATGCCCAGCTCCTGGAGCAATGCCCAGCACATGTCAGAGTTCGAGGAGATGGATTGGGGCTCTGGGAAGGCACCCGCAGTCTCCAAAGTGAGACAGGCCAAGAATCAAACCCCAGGTATACTTGTTTTTTTTTTTTTTTTGGAGAGGTTTTCGCTATAGGGTGTATGTGCTCGGCAGACAGACAGAGAGAGACATAGAGACAGAAAGCGAGAAATCACGGTGGGGGGGGGTGGGGATGGGGATGGTCACGCCGCACTCCCTTCTCCTCCATTCTCCTCTCGGGATCTTGGGCACGCATGCACATGCGCCCGGTGTGAGTTTTAAGCCACCGGGTCAGGACGCGAACCGTGGTCGACTACGTGGGAGTCCAGCGACATAGCCATTGCTAACTGCTGGTTCCCCGCAAGTCTACTTTGACGGCTTGGGCGTGCGGGGAGGGTGGGAGAGTCATGGAACCTCACCTGCTGACTTACTGCAGGGGTTCTCCTTTTGGATTGTGGAGGATCTAGGGAGCCGCCCAGAAAGTGCCTGACACAAGACTCCCTCCGGAGAGGTTTTGGTATCAATAGCATCAATTTGCCTAGAGCAGGTCTCTGCCTCCTCTTAGAGACCGGCGTGCCTGGCTGCCTCTCTCTGCCCTCAGAAACCCACTTTCTGGGGCCCGCAAGGGGAAAGAAGCACACGTGTGGGGTCAGCGCACTCTCTTTAATGAGAAGGGGATTCTCATTTCTTACAGCAACAGGTAAAAACATAAATACGGGTGGGTGGGCGGCAGCAGGGCCCAGACGTCCTGCCCAGGCTCAGGAAGGATGCCGATCTTAGGCCTGCGCGCCCGATCTCAGTCCCAGGTGGCCGGTGTTCGGTCGGGCAGGGACCCTATGGACACTGAGAGGGCATTTCCAGGGTGGCGGCAGGACTCCGGCATCGGGATCACTCACTGCAGGCATGGTAGACTCCGCCACAAACTCTCCTTCACGCGAGCATGAGAGCGCAGTGCGCGGGCCAAGTTCCGAGGCCCCGGTGGCGGGAGAGGATGTGAAATCCACCCCATCGGACGCAGGGTCCTGTCGGGAGCCCTTTCTACCCCCTTTGAGTCGGCGGTGTCCCTCTCGAGATATGGGATCGGCCAAGGGGCGCCCCAGGCGGGTTCCTTCCCTACCAGGCTCGGATCCCGTGCAGCGTGGACACTCCCGAGTTGCCCTGAGGAATCCCGGGACTCTGCACCGCGTTCAAGTCCCCGACTCCGAAGTTCACGAAGTTGCCGTTGGCGGATGCGGTGGCGGGCTGCGCGGGGGGCGGCCCGGCGGGGCAAGCAGCCGCGGCGCCGGAG